CACGCACGCACACACGCACGCACGCACACACACACGCGCACACACACACACACACACGCACACACACACGCACGCACGCACGCATGCACGGACATGCATGCACGCGCACACACACACACACACGCACACACACACACACGCATGCACGCACACACGCACGCACTCATGCAAATCAATGTTTGGTCTCAAAGAATGGCTAGGGTTCAAGGGTATGGAGTGCCATTTTGGTTGACAAAGAGTGGTAAAACGGATAACCCAAATGTGTATGAGATCCATGACTAAGTATGCAAGTGCCCATATGCAAGTGAGATTAAGTTCATTCAAGTCTTGATTCAGGTTGGAGCTGGTTTTAAGAAAAATGCCAATATCAAGCAAGAAAACATGTTTCAAGAAGAGTTTTCAAGGCTCAAAGCATGCAAGGTTTTAAAGAGATGCCTAAGCTAGTTGATATGTTTAGCTAGGGTGCTAATTTAAGTACAAACAAGTGTTTTGTTCAAGTCATTTTCAACAGCTGCTCCATATGAAAGTGAATGCAACCTATATGCTCTAGAATAAATCCGAAGAATGCAAGTGATGCAACTACATGATTCTTTTTGTATTTTTCAAAAAATTTCAATTTTTTGGATTTTTCTATGTATATATGTGTGTAAAATGCAAGGTATGAGACTCAAAATCAACAAAGAAAACATGATTAAATACTTGGTACCTCCCCCAAACTTAAATCACACAGTCTCTGTTTGAGTAAGAGAGAAGGAGAAAATACGATAAAAGCAATGGTGTATAAAAAGAATGGTTGGAGTGATACCTCAAGTGGTAATGATCAGTGTTGTGGCTATAGATCTTTGAGCATGACCTTTGGGCATAGTGAGAAGACCCCCAAACTTTTTCCTAACCTATTGAGAAGGAGGATCCTTCCCATCTTGAAGGGTGATGGTGAGGACGTGTGTAAGGAGCTCTTGGAGCTTGAGTGGATCAGCTTGGAGTTGAGGAGAGATAATGGCCCTGGAACTTGAGAATGGCTTGGACCTTCCCTTGCACTTGATCTTATACTCAATGGCTCCATCTTTGAGCTTTAGAGGGTGGAGAGTGAGAGTGTGTGGCATCTTGGCAAGCTTTGGAGATGGAGGATCTTTCATCTTCTTTTTAGTTTGAGTAACCTCAGTAGCTTCACTCACCTCCTCCTTGGTAGCATCTCCCAAGTGCTCTACACAACTCTTCTTTGAGGAACCTTCACCAAGAACTTCTTCCTTCTTAACAACCAATGCATCTTTCAAAATTGTTCCACAATAGCCTCCATTCAGCATTGGTGACTTGATTGGATAGAAGACTTTCTTGTTGATATTTTGGAGGACCACCTTCTTGTTTCGGAAGTCAACGCAAGCCCCCACAGTAGGAAAGAAGGTGTGCCTAAGTGCAAGGGCATTCTACTCTTGCTTGTCATATCAAGAACAATGAGGTCTATGGGAATGGTGCAAGATCCAATCTTCAGAGGGAAGTCCTTGATGAGACCAATAGGTGTTGTTGACGCAAAGTCTCCAAACATGAAGGATGATCTTTTTGGCTCCATGCCTATGATCTTTAAGCTCTGAACCATCTCTAATGAGATCACATTCACACAAGTTCCACTATCCACAAGAGCATCATCAATCTTATAATCACCAAGGGAGCAAGGAAAGATGAATTTTCCTTCATTGTCAAGCTTGGGAAGAGACTTTCGTGGAGGTTTAGGGTCCAAAAAAGAGGAAGAGATGTCAAGAAGCTTTGCCACATCTTCTTTGTGAGCCAAAATGTCTTGTATGAGGATCATTTGGTCCCAAGCTTCTTGCATGTTTGAGATCATTGGAAGTTGGACTCTCAACATCACTGAACTCTTTTTTAAACTTGGAGATCACCTTCTTTTAAGCTTTGGTGATGACCCTCTTTGGAAAAGGGAGCTTATCATAGGGAGATAGCCCAATGTTCTTGTCTTCTTCAAGGCCAAACTCTTTGGATCCTTCAAGCTCAACTTCTTTCGACTTCAGAACAACTTCCTTACCCACCAGTTTCTTACCCTTGTGATCAACCTCTGCGCCAACATTCCCCACAGCTTGGAGCTTAACCTTGTCTCCAACCTTAGCATTAACATTCTAAAAAATCTGAGCAGCAGCCTTGGTTTCAATCTTTTCCTCAACCTGCACAAGTTCAGAGCCATACAACAATCTTCCTATCTCATCAACGTCACTCACATGATCAAATACTTCAGTCTCAGAGACAGTAGGTGAGAGGATAACATTGCAGTAGTCCTTCCCTGGTAAAAAGTTGATGTCATTGAAGATAACAGATTCTCCAAGGCGTTAAACTTTTTGTTAAGCTCCCCATAAGCACCATCAGTCTTTGTGTTGAGAATACTCAACTCATTTCCTGTATGCTTCTCTTGCCTCTGCTGAGCTTCCAAGATGGTTCTCAACATGGCTTCAGTGTTAGCCTCTTTAGTAGAGGAGGGAGAAGGGTTATCTTGGCGTGGATGAGCTTGGTTGGTTTGGCAATGGGGATTGTAGGGAGGCTTTTGGTATTAGGGGTTTTGGTAGTGGAAGTTTGGTTCCTTCCTATACCAAGATCCATTGGCATTGATGAACCATACCTATTTGTTTCCCTCAATACCTGAACAACATTCAACTCAGGTGAATGCTCTTGAGCACCCACAAGGTTTACCTTCTCTTGCTTGGTTGGGAGTGAAAGAAGCAACTCAAACTTGTCAATCTTTCTTTAAGAGATTTCAGATCCCTTCTAGTGTCTTTATCACCATCTCTATCGCTTCTATCAACCTCATCGTTGTAAATTGAGTAACTCTTGGCCATGTTCTCCACAAGCTCTAAAGCTTCAGCTTCAGTTCTTCCCAAGAAGAAACCATTGCTAGCAGTGTCTAGCATGCTCCTATATTTTGGCAAGACTCCTCTGTAGAAGGTACTGATCAAGCTCTCCTTACTGAAATCATTATGAGGACACTGAGTGATGAAGCCATTAAACCTTTCCCATGCTTCACCAAAGCCTTCAAGGTTCTTTTGAAAAAAAACTAGATATGTAACTCTTAAGCTTACATGTCCTTGAAGTAGAGAAGAAATTAGTGAGGAAGGCTTTCTTACATTCATCCCAAGTGGTAATAGAGTCTCTTGAAAGGCTCTTCTCCCAAGTATGGGTTTTGTCTCCCAAAGAGAATGGGAACAATCTCAGCTTGAAAGCATCTTCAAAAACACCATTGATTTTTGTTGTCCCACATAGCTTATCAAACCTATCAAGATGGTCTAGAGGATATCTAAGGGCAAGACCATGATACTTGTTTCTTTGGATCATGTTGATAAGGCTGGACTTGATCTCAAAGGTGGTGTTCTGAACAGCTGGAGCTCGGATACCAGCTCTATACCCATGAATGTTTGGTTGATCATAGGCGGCAATGGCTCTAGCTTGGGGTGGGTTGGGTTGTGGTCTAAGGTTGGCAGCTACTTGACCAATACCTCCTTAAGAGAGAATAGCCTCCTTATGAGGTAAGTTGTTGTTTCTCTCCATCACTAGCCCCAAATCTTCTAGTTGGGCTAGCCTCTCTTCTTCTCTTCTTCTTTTTACACTACAAGAAATAAGGGTTTTAATAGCATTAGATTATAGCGTTTTTGACAGTTCTGCTATTGTATACCAATATTAGTTTTTTTTTAATAGTGTTTATAAATTTAAAACGCTATGTTTGGTATCGCAGGAAAATAAAAAAATTTAGCCACGTTAATTGATTAAGTATAGATGCCTTACCATTACAGATCTAAAATTAAACGCTATCGTATATGTTAAATATATGAAATTTTAATAAAAAATACATTTTTCTGAACAACAATAAAAAATACTTTAAGTTAACCTTTGGGCTTGATACACAAAAAAAAGTCAATTCTCTCCCCGTGTCACTTTACGAGAAATCGAACAAGCACCATCCGACGACGTCATCTCCTCCATAACCGGAGGATCGTCGGCTTATGATTAGACCTCCTTCTTGTTTAATTTCAAACTTGGACGCTGCTTCTTCTTCGCCTCTCTCTCTTTCTTCACCTTCTTCGTTCACCAAGGTTCAAAATCATTCCCTTTTCCCTAATTTCATCCATTTGGATTTGAAGTCGAGATTTTGTTAATGTTTCTGGCTTGATTGGGTTGAAGATTGGTTCAATTGGATTTAAAGTCGAGACTTTGTAAAGGTTTGTCGCTTGATTGGTTCAATTGGATTTTAAGGTTTGATTTTTTTTGAATCCAGGACGGGAGGAGGATTAGTGTTAGGGACTATGCTTTGTTTAAGCCACCTCAGGAGTGCCCACCATTTATTGCTTTGATCCGTTTGCTCCTTCCTGAGAAAGAAGGCAACAACTTTAAGCTTCGTGTGAATTGGCTTTATAGACCCTCGGAGTTGAACTGAAAAAAGCGTCCAAGAGAACGAAGAATGAAGTGATTCTCTCGCGATAGAGAATGAGAAAAGTTTGAGACTTTGTTTGCGACTTTGGGAGATGGAGATTCCAAGCTCTAATGAAATACTTGAGTGTATGAGCTCTTGTCTCTCTCAGATCAAATGGCGACTCAAGCTCTCTTCAAAACGCCGCCTCGAAATAGGTTTCCATCTTTCATTCTCACAGATTTTGTATCAGATTATGAAGCTTGAGGATGCTTTTGTTTGAGATTCATTTTTTGCTTGGTGGGTTTATCAAGTTACATTATTTGTTAGGGATAAATCATTAAAAGTTTTGAACTTTAGCATCATCATCATCATCACTAGACTCTAGTATATGATCTCTGTAAGAGATGCTTAAAACGGGTTTTATTGGAACAGATTTGCTGGCACTCTGCACGGGAATGAGATCAGTTGTGATGATTGACTATGGTGGCAAGTTGCCTGAGCTACAAGATCGCATGCTTTCTCTTCTTGAGCTTCTCCATGAGGTTGGTTTCTACTTCCTTCTTCAGTCACATTACTACTTGAGTATGTCTCTTTGGTGATTTTGTTCATGCTTGTGTCCTCTAGGCTTTACCGATTTTCAAAGCTCTGAGGGTTATGGTTATAGAGGATATGATTTACCTGATCAATGTAACAAGACTTGCCAAATGGTTGAGTTCAGAACCTGAATTGTTCTTTGTCGACCTGGAACAAGATCCTCCACAGGTTTCTCTTTGTTTCAGTGGTTTCTCTTTTCATGCTCCATCACTTTAATTGGACTGAACTCACTCTTGCTGTTTTTTGTTCAAGATGGTAGAACAAAGCAAAGAATGCAGTCTAGGGATGGAACTTAAGTTGATTCAGAAGCTATTCTCCTCGACTTGATGGCGGCAATAAGGATACCAAAATAGCTTTAGATGAAGCCAAGTCTTCTCAGTCTTCTTTATTCATTGATCTTAGTTGTTGTTTACAAGACACTAAGGTTACAATCCCTACATTAAACGGGTAATTTTCATATCCAACTCTTCACTCATCCATCATATAATATCAAGCCATGAAGTTTGGTGGTGTTCAATCTGTATTTGCAGATGGCTCATGGACTATCCGGTTGTGTATTTATTCGGCACTGATCACATAGAAGAAGCAATCTACAACCTCTGAACCAAGTCTCTCCGCATCTACAAAGTTCTAGTACAAAGGTTAGAGCTATTGAATATATATATTTCTAAACTCTTAGCTTTCTGAACACCTTTGTGACATCTAACTTGAGATCTTCCAGGAATGGTACCAGTGGAGAAGACTCTCATTTAGAAGAGCTAACAAGGTAATAATTTATAAACCAAGACTGTGATTCTACTGACTAAAACAACAATGCGTCAATGAAAATAACTGAGTGTGTTTTCGCAGTTGTTGGATGTGTCAAAGAGATTAGGTTCTACTAAACACTAAGCTGATTAGTCTCTGATTCTTCTATTCTTACACTTGAATTTTTTTCTACTTGAATGAAGTATTAGTCTCTGATTCTTCTATTCTTACACTTGAAT